CTGTGAAAAAATGTGTCATGACTTTTCCAACAATCCAATATTTAACTGTGTTCATAAACAGAATCCAACACTCTAAAGGTAAACAACATCCAGCACCCTATAAAACTGTAAGTTTTTAATTTATAAAAATCACAACATCTGACATTGAATCAAAATTTATCAAGTATAAAAATAAGTGGAAAAATAGACACATAAAGAAGAGAAAACATAGTTGATAGAGACATACCCATATGCTCAAGGATGAGACTGGCAGGTGGCATGGTGGTTAAGGACACTGGATTCCCATGGTCGACCACGGTTCAAGTCCCAGACCTGGTGGCTTGCTTTCTCACTTTTCCTCTCTCACTCTGTCCCTCTCTGGTTAAATTAAAATAAATAAATAAATTTAAATATAATTTTTTGAGAGGTTTTTGCTATAGGGTGCATGCGCTTGCCAGAGACAGAGAGACAGAAGCAAGAAATCACCCCACAGGGGGAATGGCCACACTGCAATCCCTTCTCCTACATTCTCCTCTCGGGATCTTGGGCACGCACGCACATGCGTCCGGCATGAGTTTTAAGCCACTGGGTCTGGGACGCGAACCGCGGTCGACTACATGGGAGTCCAGCGACAGCCATTACGCTAACCGCTGGTTCCTTAAATAAAATAATCCTTTAAAAAGTAAATAACTATGCTCAAGGATATAAAAGAAAATATAAATATGATGAAAAGAGAAATCAAAGCTATAAAAGATCCAAATGAAATTTCTAGACATGAAAAATACAGTGTCTGAAATTAAAAAGTACACTGAATGAGCTTCTACTTAAGATGTGGCGATCTGAAGAGAACAAGATTCTCACTCGGTCAAACTATGAGCATAAAATTGTGCAATTTTCAAATCACAAGTTTTCTTGAGCCCATGAAAGAACTGTCCCCTGTCCCCTGCTCAATCTTTTTATATAAAGTGAAAACTTTAGCTGCTGAGAGAGAAGCCTAAAACCTTGTACTGTCAGGGGCTAGGCAAAGATTGCCTACTTCTAAAAATGGGCAGAAAGAAGATTTGAGAGATAATGACCAAAAACTTCCCAGATTTGATAAAAACATTAATGAAAACCAGGCAGTATCCTGTTCTGCCTAAAATCTTTCCCATGAATACCAAAAGGAAGTCAAAAAAAAAAAAAGAGTTTGTGGATGGATGTGTCTAAAATAAAAAGTCTTTTGGAGGAGAAGTGGGACACGCGTTGTATTAGCTTTATCATAGCTTGAGGGGAAAAGGTTTTTTTTGACTGCCAACAAAAGTAAGTAAAAAGATAACACTAAAGGCTGGCCCCATAGTGCTGAGGTTAAGTTCTGTGTATTGGGAACCAGATCCTACATGGCCAACTGCAGTTAAAAATCTGACCTGAAAGGCTTGAAAAATACACGAAGTGCATGGATGTGCATATCCAAAATCCTGAGAGGAAGAAGAAACGGAGGAAAAAGATTATAGCATAACCATTGGAGAGTGCTTTCTCTCTTTCTCACTCTTGCTTTCTCTCTTTCTCTCTCTTTCTTTCTTTCTTTCTGTCTTTCCCTCTCTCTATCTCTCTCTGGAGAGTACACACACCCTCTGGCAATAAAAATGTTTTTAAAAAAGATAACACCTAAAACCTGAATAAGTTCTTAAAGCCTGACTGAGGTAATTGAAAATAATTTAGAGCTCCAGATTTAAGAGGAGACTACATTTATCCACAAAAAAAATTTTTTTGGGGGGATGCTCTTTTAGGTACTCAGATTTTTGTCCGGATGGGATACTGAGTGGTTTTCATGAATTTTTTAAAAATCAAATTTGGGAAGTTTTTTGGCCATTATCTCTTCAAATCTTCTTTCTAGTCCTCTCCAGAAGGAGGAGACCTTTGCCTGGGCCTTATCTGTGGGAGGGTTTTTGGCTCCTCTCCCAGCAGTGGAAGATTTTTGCTTTATATGAGCGGACAGAGCAGAGAGCAGGAGCCAGCAATTTGGACTGAGAAGGAGATGGAACCAAGCTCTCACTGCTTTCCTCAAAGCCAGGCTTCTGAATGAGAAACAAAGGAAACTTGGATTCTGATTCTGCAAGACACCTAGATGGAAAGGAACAGGCTGATGTGAAAAAGAGTATCAGCTTACTGGTACATAATTTACCTAGCACAGCATTCACCTTTTTAAAGGGTGTAACGTAGTGTCTTTCAAACTGCCAAGATCAGGACCCAGACCCAAACCATGGTCACTATGTGGCATTTGGTCTCCTTTACTACTAGGCTATGGGGCTAGCTCTGTTTGCCCTTTCAATATTACAAACTTGTCCCCACAGAGCCAACTTCTGAAGAACACACCATTCTCTATTCTGTCGAGGTCTGACTTCCTTCCTTTTCTGAGATTCATGTTATTGATACTCTATCATACTTCAAGCCTATACAAGATAGGATGGAAGGTAGTCTAGTAGTTATGACCCTTTTGTGAACAATACTTTAATATTCCACTCTATTCTATGCCCTTTAAGCC